AATCACAAAATTTCCGGATCCGTCTGGTAGTGAAAGACTTGGAGCGGTGGTCAAAGGTTTCTTTAGTTCTTGGAAACTGGTCTCGCGGTCCGGGGTCCATTGGTAATTGACTCCTTTTTTCATGAGTTGAGTGAGGGGCGATGCGATTTTTGAAAAATCTCGAACCAATTTACGATAGTATCCGACTAAACCAAGGAAACTCCGTATCTCTCTTACATTCGTTGGAGTGGGCCAGGTTGAGATTGCTTCTATTTTGCCGGGGTCGACGGAAAGTCCTTCGGCAGAGATGATGTGGCCAAGGAAAGTGACTCGGGATAGCCAAAATTCGCATTTACTGAACTTGGCGTAGAGTTGATGCTCTCGGAGTGTTTGGAGCACTATTCGTAATTGGAAGGTATGTTCTTCTTGGGTCTTCGAGTATATGAGAATGTCATCGATAAAGACGATGACAAACTTGTCGAGGTACTGATGAAAAACTCGATTCATAAGATCCATAAAAGCGGCGGGGGCGTTGGTTAATCCAAACGGCATTACTACGAATTCATAGTGGCCGTATCGTGTTCGGAAGGCAGTTTTTGGAATATCAGTTTCTTTGATTTTAAGCTGGTGGTAACCTGAATGAAGGTCGATTTTGGAGAAGACGGATGACTCTTGGAGTTGGTCAAAGAGATCGTCGATGCGGGGCAGAGGGTATTTATTCTTTATGGTCACCTTATTCAGCTCACGATAGTCGATGCAAAGGCGGAAAGATCCGTCTTTCTTCTTAACGAATAGTACCGGGGCTCCCCATGGGGAGTAACTGGGGCGGATGTAACCCTTATCGAGTAATTCTTGAACTTGATTCTTCAATTCTTTGAGTTCCACAGGAGCCATACGGTACGGGGCCTTTGAGATTGGTTCTGTTCCCGGAATAAGATGAATTTCGAATTCAATTTCGCGATCGGGCGGTAGTCCGGGTAGGTCATCGGGGAAGACGTCGGGAAATTCTTGGACAACGGGAAGTTCAGACATCACCGGTTGAGGTTTTGAGCTATTTTCCAGGAGGTCGACTAGATAGCCGGTATGTCCCTTGTTGATGAGTTTGGCGGCTTTGATTGCGGATATTATGGGGATTTGAGCCTTGGTGTCGCTTCGAAACTTTAAGAGGGTGTGATTTGGGAGAGAAAAGCTTACGGTTTTTAGGGCGCAGTTGATTTGGGCCTTGAATTTGGTCAACCAATCCATTCCCATTATGAGGTCAAAGTTTTCGATTGCTAAGACGATGAGATCGAACCTCATGGGTTGAGATTTAATTTGAATAGGGCAATCCTTCACTACTCTGCTAGTGATCATTTCTTCGCCCGAGGGCATAGAGATGCGATATTCATGGCTTACTTGAGTCGGTAGTAGGCCAAGACGTACGCACGCATTGGTGGAAATAAAGGAATGTGTAGAGCCAGAATCAATCAAAGCATACACGGGTTCTCCAAGAATAAGAACGGTACCTGCGATCATCGTCGGATCTTGACGCGCTTGTTCTCGGGTCATGGCAAACGTGCAGCCTGGAACTCGAGTTTGGGCGTTGGGGCAGTCTCTCGCCTTATGGCCGGGCTTTTTGCATCGAAAGCACAACTCGGTATCCCTTACGCAGATCCCAAAGTGAGCCTTTCCGCAGTTCGAGCAGGTTGGCTTGGTCGTCGGTGCTACTGGTTTAGGGCTTGAATTTTGGACCTTCTTTCCTCTGAATTTCTGATTTCCAAAGTTGGCCTTCTTCCATGGTCGTGGTGTGGGTGGCTGGGGTCGTTTCCCTTGCTGAATTTCATTTTCGTCTTGAGCAGCCGTTAGTGCCTTGTCCACCATCTGGCGAAAGGTAGTGGCGTCGGACATGCGGATGTCCCTTCGAATTTCGGGTTGTAAACCCCTTGTGAAGTGATTTTTCTTTTCCTCAACGTCCTTGGCGATGAATGGGGCGTACAAGCATCCTCGTTCAAATAGTCGAACGTATTCGGTCATGGTGAGATCCCCTTGGCGGAGTTCCAAGAATTCCTTGAGTTTGTTGGCCCGAACGTCCTTGGAAAAGTATTTCTCGAAGAATTGGACCTTGAATGCTTCCCATGACAAGTTCTCGAGTTCAACACCTTCCTTAGCTCCCTCCCACCAGTTCCGGGCTTCGTTACGAAGTAAAAAGAGGGCACAGTGCACTCGTTCACGGTCATCCATTTGCATGTAATCAAAGATCACCTCCAAGGATTTGATCCACTCTTCGGCTACGACCGGGTCGGGATCACCATGAAACTCAGAGGGTTTCATGCGAAGGAAACGTTCGTATAGACTTTGGGGATTTGGTTGAGGCGTAGGTGGGGTTTGTCGGCTTTGAAGGAGTTGTTGGATTTGATCATGATGATTTTGCGCTTGCTCGCGGATAAGGTTGGAGAGACCGAGAATAACGTTAGCGGTGTCTGGGAGATTATTTGTGGCGGCGGCGTTCCGAGATTGTCTTCCTGTCATGTCTTAGTGTACGTTGCAAAAATAATTTTAGATTAACAGAAAAATATAAACACAAGTAAGCACATAATTACCGGATAGACCGAGTCTTCACGCTCCGAGGGTGCCGAATTCCAGTTCGGTGCTCGTATAGAGTTTCTACAAATTTGCTCTGATACCATGTCTGTGACACCCCCTAGTATTCGTATAGCAAACCGAGAGGGTTTGCCATGCACGGAAGCTTTAAACGTATTATACGAGTATTTAGATGTGTGGGTAGACTCCAAAGGGTTTAGCGAACCGATTTTTTTTTTTTTTTTCGTTTTTTTTTTTTTTTTTTTTTTCTTCGTGACCTAGGACTTAAAGACGGAGTCGCCTTCGGAAGATTTTTCGGCGAAGTGATTTAGTGGGATGGCGGAGTATACGTCTAACTACCCGATAAATTCGTAATATAGACTATAAGTGGTGTCACCTTGATAAAACATAGAAAAAGGTTAAAGTCCATAATTAAAACGACATATTAATAAATGGACCATAGTTTAACAAAAAGGGGCCCACATTCGGAGGAATTAGCCTCCTTTACCACGGATAATAATACACATGAGCTACTATGGAAATAGTAATTGTCCTAAGGACAATATACACAAAAGATAGTACTACAAGCATCATAAGTAGATCCTCCATACGAACCAAAAACCCGGAGTCGGCCTCTCGAACCGTCGACTAGTCCAATCCGGTGGAGTGAGTAGTACTAGTACCTGCAAACGGAGAATATCTATATGAGCTAACAAAGCTCAGTAAGGTTATCGAAAGATACCGAGAATTTAAAATATAGTCATACTACATATACTATATAATAATAGCACAAGTACAACAACATTTAACACAATTTACATTTCTAGGACATATAATTCATTAACTATAGAAACATAAAGAATCTTCGTTTTATCGGATCCGATGAGAAATTAACTTCTTTACTTAGAAAACAAGAAGATTATTCTGAGCCCGTTTTGGTGGAATCAAACCACCCAACTGTAGTATCTATGGTTGGAATACCGGCCCCCCGTATCCTTTCTCATCTTTTCTAAGTATTTCATTAATCCCCCAATTTATTTTGTTTAACATCACAAGTGGCATGGTCGAATTACTTGAAATCTCCTTTGAGTACCTAAAGAATACTAATAATTCACAATCAACCCATAACAACTTGAAACACCACAAGACATCACAAATATCAATCAAGTGACAAATAAACACATATTTCACAAAAGATTAACAATTATCAAATTGTGCATTCAAGCATGCTTACCCAAGAATATAACACAAACTATTAAGGACCAACCAATCTCCTATATTTCCTTAAGCTACTCAATTTCAATTAAATTCTAGGATCAAGGAAACATGTTAGTTTTGGATGGTTTCGGGTATTCAGCACAACACCCCTGAACTTCTGAAAATTACTGTTCTACCCCAAAAGTTCAAGACTCACACATGCAAATTAACCTCAAGTTCAAAAATTCATATTTTCACGAAAATCAACCCTTCACTTATCTGAAATTCAGATTAATGCAGAAAAATCCAGTTAGGAGTGATTTAATGCAGACTTTTCGGAATTTACATATTTCACCCTAAATTCTCTAGATCTATACATGCAAGACCTTTAGAAATTCACAAAAATCCATTTTCTTGTAAAACCTTTTAAAAACAAAATTATCCTTTACTAAATTCTGGAAAACAGATCTGGAACCCTATTTGAGACTTATTTCTCAAAAATTACAGATTTACCCCAAAACTCTTTCAAATGACACATGAAATCACTTTACAATTGTCAAGTCTATTTTTTTATGAAGAACCCCTAATAAATCCGAAATCTTCACTTATTTTATGCAGAAAACGAAACTAAAATGTTGTGTTAGGCAGAAACTTTGAAAATTTTACTTTTCACCCCAAAACTTTTAGATCCATACATGCAAGACCACTAGGTTCAAAAATTACTCCTTCTTGTAAAACTTTTTCCTAAATCTGAAATTTCTATTCAATAATGCTAAAAACTAATTTTAGAAACTCATATGAATCTGACTTCTCAAAAATTACGGATCTGGCCCAGAAATATGCAGATTTACACATGCAACCCCAAAACTTTTCCCAATTCAATTTTCTTCACAATTTTCGAAATAACCGAAATTTCTTTGAAAGCCATTAACTCAAATCTACCATTTAAGACTTCCGATCATACATGCAATGACATAAATCATATAAATTAACAAAAAGAAACCATTAAATGCAAGAACAACATAAAGTAAGAATTAGGGGTGTCTTTTAATTTAATTTCGAAATTTTGTTCTTGATACTTGATACCTCCATTTGCAGCAAGGATTTCGATTCCTTACCTCAAAAATATATAGGAATGAAAGCTAGCTGAAAAAAAAAAGGGAAGGTTCTAGGGAACCTTCAAAGAAAACCGAAAGTTAGAGGAAGAAATTGAACGAAGAAGAAGGAGAGTTTGAGACTTCGAATGGCAGCTCTTACCTCACTACAAGAAAAACTAGTTTCAGTGACCAAATTCTCAGCGACCATAACTAAATGGTCACTGAATATTCACATTTAGTGACCAAAAGTACTTTTGTAGCAAAAGTGGGAAGGGTTAAATCTTGTTGCGACGAGCGAACATTTGGTAGCTATAAGTGGTCACTAATAGCTAGACATCTTGTAGCAACTAAAGTTAAAGTTTGTAGCGACAATTTTTATGGTCACTATAACTTAGTGTCAATAGTGACCAATTTAACATTAAACTTTTTTACGGTTGCTACAAGTCTTTAATTTAATTATTAACAACCATCTAATTGGGTTGCTAGTAACCACTTGAATTTGGTTACTATGAAACTACTTTCGGAAATCAAATCAATTTGGTCACTAGTTTAGTTTTTAAACAAATCAAGAAAAGAAAAGAAAATAAAAGAAAGATGGAGGGCCAAAATGCAAATAATGAAAAAATACAGCCAATTGGCCGAATTCTCATTCTTTCGTTCCTTCATCACAAAACTGTTCACTCTCTCCTTACGCTCTCTCTACCAATTCTCGGCTAATATCACAGAAAATCAAGAAAGAGTTCTCTCCAAAAGTATTCTCGTATTTCACCCAATTTCTCCAAAAGTATTCTCCTATTTCACCCAATTTCTCCAAGCCTTACTTCCTACCCCTATCAGAGAATTTTTGAATTCAATAAAGGGGATTCGGATGAATTGATTATAGGAAAAGAATTGGGGATTTGAAAAGATAATTTCAGATTTGGGTTTTAAGGAAAAATAAAAGTTTGGAGACCTTCGAGAATGAATCTCGTCGATCAGGACCCACCTTTGGAATAATTGTGAGTTCGGATGTACTCGGGTGTTGGTGATTTCCGGCAGAGGTCGTCGATGGTGGCCGGAGTCTGGAGTTCAGCTTTTGGCTCTTCAAAGAATTAAATGAACGGAGGTGTTAACGGTGGAGTATTGATGATAGAAGGTACCGTTACAAACCTCGAGAAGTTAGCTTCCCATTGATGGTGGTGCTCGGCAGTTTTATTCGTCGGTGGTCGCCGAAATTTGGTGTGAAATTCAGCCTGCTCGCCGGAACTCTAAGGGAAATAAAATCTGCTACCGCATCTGTTTTCGGAGCCAAAATCGAAGGGTTTGGAGTGTGAATTTGGGAATCATTCCTTCTCAAAACTCGTAGAGAACCTCGAAAACTATGAGCAAGTGTTTAATTATTTCCAATTCGAGCACGTGTTATAGCCTTTTAGGGGTCGGAATCAGACGACAGCGAATCTGTCAAAAAACAGGGCAGTTTTGCCTAATCATCATACGAAGCTGTTTTTGTTATGTTGGAGTAATAATTTAGGCTATGTGTCTTCTTATGTTTTGTATATTGAGTTGTGAGGTTTGATTTGGTATATTATTTGGTCGATTTGGATAACTCTACAAATTTTATGATTTTTCAAATAAACTGTGACAGCAAACAAGTTTGTCCAAAACAATTCTGGCAGCTTTCTGTATTCGACTGTTCGGGCCGTTATTGTTGTGTTATCTTAGTAATTGGGGGTTGGTATCTTCATCACAATTGTAGATAAAGTTGTGAACTTTTATTTGGTATATTGTTTTCCCAATTTGGATAAGCGTACGACCTGCTACGATTTTTGGAAGAAAATGTGACAACAAATATCGTTGGTTTCTAGTTTACTGTCCATAGTTAGCATCTATATGTGTCATAGTTATTTGAGTCATTAGTTATTTGAAATTTGTCTTATGCACATTGAGCAACAAGTTTAAAGTAATGTGATCGAAGGTGAAGTTTGAGAAACTAATGGATTCTTATTTCAGGTGTGTCATTCGTGGTTGTGTACCTAAGAAAATTTTGGTCTATGATGTTGCTTTTGGTGCTAACTCGAGGTGAGAAGACTTTGTTATTTGAGAAAGACTTTGTTAGTTATTTCTTCAAGTTATATAACCAAATTTAACCCGACAGCTATGTTGGCGAAATTATGAGAAATAGTAAACCTTCTGCCGCACCTGTTTTCGGAGTCGAAATCGAAGGGTTTGGAGTGAGATTTTCGAATCAGTCTCTTCACAAAACTCGTCGAGGACCGTGATAATTATATGTAAGTGTTAAATTGCTTCTAATTCGAGCAAGTTTTATAGCCTTTTAGAGATGAGAATTTGACGGCAGTGAGTCTGCCAAAAAAAGGGCAGTTTTGATGAATCATCTCCGTTGGGTTTTATTACCGTCTTAGGATAATAATTTGGGATATATTTCTTTCGTAAACTTTTAGATGAAGTTGTCAGCTTTGATTTGGTAAATTGTTTGGCCAATTTGGATAACGTTACAAATAGTTATGAATTTTACAATAAACTATACCAGAAAAGAGAATTTATCCGAAATTCTGGCAGTTTTCTGTAATCATCTTTTGGGCCTGTTTTGAATATGCTAGGATCATAATTTGTGATGAGAGTCTCAGTGAACATGTAGGTGCAGTTGTTAGCTTTCATTTGGCATATTACGTTCCCAATTTGGATAATCGTACCAATTGTTATGATTTTTCAAAGAAATTCTGGAAACAAATGTTTTAAACCTTTGTTTCGAGAACTCGTCAAACAAACACGAGTCAACTCTTGGTTTCATGTTTCCTTATGATAAATTCATTGGACTTGGTTTCTCATAAACTTGAATCCCTGTTTTCATCTCTTATGTAGGTTATAACTTATAAATGCCAAATTTGCAGTTGAGGCTAAAGTTTAGTTGGTGGCTCTACTGATAAGGTAAATCAATTCATTACATAAGATTTTCCTTGTTGCTTTTGTTGCTTATATGATCACTACATTTGGAAAACAATTGCGTGTATATCTTCTGATTCTCTGTGGCATCCAATTCCAGGCACCCAATTTCAGGCACCCGTAGAGAGGCAGAGGCAGTTGAAGCTAATGATATTACTTCAATCAAGTTCCAGATGTGAATGTTGTCAGCGGTTTTAAGTTCAATTTAATCGGCGAGGCAGTGTTTGGTTTCTTTGGTTGCTACTGTATATAGATTGATCACTGATTTAATTCACTTGTCAACAATTAATTAGTTAGGTGCTAATATGTAGTAACCAGCTATCAATTCAAATTTTTTTCCTCACAATTATTATTTGGTTTTTGTCATTAGTAGCAATAAACAATTGTTTTTCGTTCATTATTTGATTGTTTTGCAAATAAGAATTATTAATTGTTATTTTTGGTTATTATATGCAAACAATTGGGGTATATTTGTGACAAATTAAAATTTATTGCAACCAACTATTCTTGTAGTTAAATTATTATATTGAGCAACGAATTTATTGGTCGCAACGTGGTCACTAAAATACGTTAGGTTTGTGACCATATAAAATCTATTGTAACCACGTACTCGGTTGTTAAAAGAATATCATTTATCAACAAAAAATATGTGGTTACTGTACGTATACCTATAGCAACCATATTAATATTATAGCGACCATAAATTTTAACATTAGCGAGTAAAAAATTTGTCGCTGATAATTACATCTTTAATGACCATTATTGAATGGTCGCTAGATCTATGTCTTTAGCGTCCAATTGATTTGCTGGTCACTAATACTTTTAGTAGCCACCCTGTTGTGACCACAAGTGACCAAGCCTAATTTGGTCGTTATAAGTTTCAGCGACCATTATCTTGCTTTTAGCAACCATAACAAATCGTCCCTAAAACCATTTTTTCTTGTAGTGCCTCTTCAAGCATTGAGATTAAACCAAGCTACTTTGATATGGAAAGACACGGTATAAATTTCAAGGTGAGAAGTGTTTTCACTAGTGAAGGGGCACCATGTATTTATAGTGTTCTTGGAGTATTCAAGGGCAAGGGTGAGATAGGGAATTCTCATTGTTGGTTTGAGAAATATCTTGCTGATTTGGAGAGGGGTTCAAGCTTGGTGGGGCTGATGGCAATGGTGGTTTCGGTGTTTTTTTTTGAGAAGGAAAGAACAAGGGAGAGAGAGAGGGGTTTGGTGCAGCCGAAATGAGGGGGAGAGAAGGGACTCTTGGCCTTCTAAGTAGGCATGCCTGAGGTGGAGTGTAGGATTGGTTTTAATAGGGGTTAGGCTAGGCTTAGGATTATCATGTGTTTATTTTATAATTATTAATTAATCCACCCCTAAAATACACACATATACGGCACATATACATACATATATATATGTATTATTATAATTTATGCTAAGTCCTAGCATGCATGTATAATTTACCCGTAAACACATAGGCACATAAGGTCACGTATAAAGTTCGATATCTAGTAATTTGGCACCTACTAATTCACGAATAGCCTCAAGATTAGCAGGAATCTAGTATTTAAGGGGCTAGGTATTATGGTTTAGAAATTATCGTGCTTTGAAACGTGGGGTGTTACAACACACTTAGACCATATTTCTCCTAAATCCTCATCTCCTTCGTACATCTCATTCAAACACTCCAATCCGACCACTTCTTCACTAAGAGTGGTAAGTAATGCGGCTCGCTGACTTAGGGGGTCTGCGACACGGTTCATGATTCCACTCCGATGCTTGATAACGAATGGAAACTTCTGCAGGAAATTCGTCCACCTCACATGCATGTTGTCGACACTTTTCTGACTATTCAGAAACCTTAAAACTTGGTGGTCGGTGTATAGTACGAACTCTCGCTGTATCAAATAGTGTTCCCACTGTTTCAAAGCTCGAACTACTGCATAAAATTCTTGATCGTAAGTGCTCCACTTCATTCGTGCGTCACTCAATTTCTCGCTGAAGAAAGCCACGGGACGCTTTTCTTGGGACAAAACAGCTCCAACACCTACTCCACTGGCGTCACATTCTACTTCAAATACCTTCTCGAAACTAGGCAAGGCTAGGAGAGGTGTATTACTTAATTTCTCCTTTATCACTGCAAAACTCTGATCTGCCTCATCACCCCACATAAAATTTCCCTTCTTCATACATTCAGTAATTGGTGCCATGATAGTGCTGAAATTCCGAATGAACCGTCTGTAGAATGTCGCCAACCCATGGAAACTCCTGACTTCCGAAACATTCTTAGGCGTGGGCCACTCACAAATTGCCCGAACCTTTTCATCATCGACATGAATTCCTTCCGCCCCAACTATAAATCCCAAGAACAGTAATCGACTAGCCATAAAAGTGCACTTCTTCAAATTGATAAATAACTTATTATCCCTCAAAACAGTTAACACCTCACGCAGGTGTCCCATATGCTCGTCTTCGTGTTTACTATAAATCAGGATATCATCGAAATACACAACAATAAATTTTCCAGAAAAGGGTCGTAATACCTGATTCATCACGCGCATGAAAGTGCTGGGCGCGTTCGACAACCCAAACGGCATCACCAACCATTCGTATAAGCCATCTTTTGTCTTGAACGCTATATTCCACTCGTCCCCGGGTCTAATCTGAATCTGATGATACCCACTTCGAAGATCAATTTTTGAAAACAGCTTCGCACTTTCCAGCATATCCAACATATTGCAAGTCGCAGAATGGGAAAATGATACTTTATGGTAATCCAATTTATTGCTCTAATGTCGACACACATCCTCCAGCTGCCGTCTTTCTTCTTCACTAGTAGCACAGACACCGCAAAGGGGCTCATACTCTCTCTAATAAACCCCTTTTTCAGCAGCTCCTCCACCTTCTCTCGCAAAACCTCACATTCTTGCGGATTCATCCGATAATGTGGCAGATTTGGTAGGCTAGCACCGGGTACTAAATCAATGTGGTGCTGAACGTCTCTCATAGGCGGCAACGAATGCGGTAGGTCATTGGACACCAACTCATCAAACTCCGTAAGTAACGGTTGCACACTCTTAGGGATTTCGACGGTTTGTTTATGAACCTCCTCTTCCCTTTCAATTCCCAAAGACCTCATCATCGTCACGTATACTCCGGTTGCTGATTCGACATCTTTTATGAATCCGCTCTCAGATTGGGAGACCACAAAAACTGGTTCTTTTTCCACTATTCTGGTAGGCTTGACCGTCGACTCCGATCGGGGTAACATCACAATCTTGCGCCCACCCCATTCAAATATGCATGAGTTTTCTCTCCCCTGATAGGTCATATTAACGTCGAATTGCCAAGGCCGACCGAGTAGTATGTGGCTAGCATCCATGTCTATCACGTCGCATGACACCTCATTGGCATAGTTCATTCCTATTGAGATAGGCACACGACACACTTCTGTCACTTTGACTGTTGGCCCTCTCTGAACCCACCCAATAGTGTAGGGGGCTGGGTGTTTTTCCACCGGCAACTTCAAATAATCTACCAGTCTTCTCGCAACAAAATTTTCGCAACTACAATTGTCAACTATCAGATCGCACACCTTCTTATTAACTGAGCACTGAGAACGAAATATGCTATTTCGTTGGTTTTGCTACATCGCCGTACAAAGAACTCGTTACACCACACAGTTAACTTGCTCTCCATTCTCATGACTATGATATTCTGCCCTATCCTCTTCTTCTTGAAAAACGTCTTCATCATAACCTTCCTGATCACTCTCGCCTCTCTGCTCCGACCCACCTACTAAGTTCACGAGTCTTCTCTCAGAGCACTCGTTGGAACGGTGCCCAGGTTTGTGACATCTAAAACAGTTTCCAGGGATTGGTCTCGCATAAGGATTGTTTGTTCGAGGCTGAACGGGCGTGCTCGCACTACCGGCACCGGCTCTTGTCTAGATCCGTGGTGCCCGTGTTGGCGGGGCAACAAGATTAAGGTTTTGGGATACGAACTTACCCCTATCAACCGGCGGTGGTGCATAATTTGGCGGTCTACGATAATTATTCACTTTGTTCCGTCACTCAAATTCTTCTGCTCGCAATGCCATACTTTGCGTATCCTGACAGGTATAAACTGGCTGCAAACCTATTCGGTCACGGATATTAGCTTTCAACCCGTTCAAATACCTGGCCACTTGCTGGTTCTCCGACTCCCTTAAATTATTTCGATCTGCCAGTTTCAGGAATTCCGTGGTGTATTCGTGTATAGACCTACTACCCTGCAAACAATTATGGTATAAATTGTATAAGTGTTGTTCATAGTCGGCCGGTAGGAATCGATCGTGAAGAAGCCCCTTCATTCTCCTCCAAGACTGCATGGGCCCTTCCCTTGTCGAGTCTGTGATCGCTGCAACTGGTCCCACCATACAGCCGCACCACTTTTCAACTTGTACGCAACCATCTTGACCATCCTCTCGGATGGGGTGTTCATCACATCAAAAGCACTCTCCACTTCGACCACCCAATCTAGAAAATCCTCTATGGAGAGGTTTCCATGAAAAGGTGGAATCTCAGCCCTTGTAGGATAATCGTCGTACTGCCTTTGTATGCCTAGGTTGATTTCCATCGACTATTGTTCTGTCGTTCTCATCCAAGTCTTCGTCAGTGTCCGGGTGAAGACATGGTTGGTTACGAATCAGATTCCTAACATGCGCACCTCGGGCTAATTCCCCAGCGCGCGTTGTATTAGGTTCGCCCCTCCTGTTGTTGCCATTGAGGGCAATTCCCTGTAGCAACTCCCAAAGTTGCTGCAGCTCACATCGGATCTCTACTCGAAATTCCTCTATAGTCTGTCGAGATTCTTCTCGAGCGAGCTCGACTGCTGCCTGAATGTTGTCAACCTCGCGGTTGTCGTCTCCTTGTTTCGCACCTTTCGCCATCTAACCAGGAAAAACCTCGCTACGAAGCACGGTAAAAAAATAATTTCTACGAATTAATCCTATAGAACACGATAACTCTGGAATCCACCAGATAATTGAGAGAAAACACAGAAATTTTATTAATAATGAAAGATGCTGAAAAATAAACCCTAGAGCAACTAATTATACTAAAGAAAATGAAAAACCTAATCAAACTAGGAAAACGAGAAAATTACCAAAAAAGGCAAAAAAATAAAATAACTTCTAAACCTAATAGAATGCCGAAAGTTGGAAACAACCCAACTTGCGGAATTCAAATCCGATTTTTGTAGAATTAATTATGAATTATTTAAAACTTTCCTAAAATAGCAAAAACGTCGTTTTGGAGGTCTAAACAACCTCGAAACGCCAAAATCCATCGCACATCACAGTGTAGCTGTTGGTTTGACTCCCCTCGTCGTTTCGGTTCGGAAACACTTGGCCCCACCCAATTCCGACTCCGCCACCTCTGTAGAATATTTGAAGATTTATGTTGATTCATTTGCCTTATGATGCGGCAAATTAAAATGGCTGAATTTAAATGGCAAATTTGTGGAAAACAAATTATGCCCAAAGTTTTCCGCTAGAAAAGCCACTCGATTCGATCGTATGCTTTACTAGTATCCAATTTCATAGCCATAAATTTAGATCGTTTCTTAGAGTTAGTTTTAATAAAATGGTTAATCTCGTAAGCAACTAATACATTATCGGTTATTAAACTTTTAGGCACAAAAGCAGATTGGGTAGGAGATATGATATCGCTCAACACCATTTTAATACGATTGCAATGACTTTAGAACCAAATTTGTAGATTACACTGCATAAACTAATAGAGCAATACCCAGTCATTTTTTTCGGATTAGAAACCTTTGGGATCAAAACAATAAACGTAAAATTGAGGGAAGCATGTAAAATTCTCTTATTCAAGAATTCGAGGAGACAATCAATAACGTTGGAACCAAGTATATGCCAAAATTTAGTATAGAAAAGGACGGGAAGGCCATCAGGGCCGGGGGATTTAGTCGAAGCAATTTGAGAGATGGCTCGGGTTACCTCATCAGCTGAGAAATGGAGAGAAAGCAGATGAGAAGCCTCGCTAGTGATACGTGCCCCTATATATGTGTTCCAACACCTCATCCACCACTCTCTCATCAGGACTAGTCGACTAAAACAAATCCTGGAAATAATTTGAGATGACTTGCTCAATATCCGCCTTATCATCTTTCCAATCCCCCCGGGAGTCCTTGATTTTATGAACCCAATTCCTCTTTTTTCGGACCATGGCTCTAGCGTGGAAAAAACTCGTGTTACGATCACCTTCCCGAATCCATTGAACACGGCTACGTTGTCTCCAATAGATATCAATGTCTCCAGATAACCGTTCAAGCTCTGCTTTCAACTCCTTCTGGCGAGACACCACTTCCCTGGTTTGGACATCCATCCTCAACTTACGGAGCTACTTACGGATTTTTTTCAATTTGCTTCTTCGGGTGGTTGAGAACGACCTACTCCAGTGTTGAAGGGCCACTCGGCAGCCATCTGAATTTTGTAAAATAGTATCAAACGGGTCCGACACTTCAGTTTTATTCCATTGTTGTTTCACTATATCCTCACATTCTTCTCTTCAGGCCCACATCGCCTCAAACCGAAATGGTTTGCAACCCGCACCACTATGATGATTATCCAGGCAGTTAAATGTGAGAAGGAGCTGTAAGTGTCTGACCCAGCAAACTCCAAATGTTGAATTTGTGCGTTGGGGAATGCTGCCAACCAGGCGCTATTACCACACGCCCGATCAAGACAAGACCGTATTGTACGAGGAGCTTCTTGCCTATTAGTCCAAGTGAAACACTAGGCCAAAAGGCAAGGGCTGGCAATGAAAATTCGCGACGAATTCTGTCTCGTAGCGACGTTATAACACGGTTAGCGACATTTTATTTTCGTCGCCACATCAGTCACAAATCGACGCCAAATGCCCCGTCGCAAAGTCAGCGGCGAAACCACAATTGCGTCGCCAAGTTTCGCGACGAAAACAGTGATTCGTCGCGAAAACTGTATTTTCTGAAAAAAAATATTTTTTTAAAGTTAGCGACGGATAAATAGTATTCGTCGCAACAACTTGCGACGACATGTCATGTTGCGTCGCACGTGTTTGATACGAAAGTTCATATTTCGTCGCAAGGTCACTGAATATTTTGGCGACTAAATAGTTGTTTCGTCGCCCGGTTTTAATTAATTTGGCGACAATAACGGAATTTTATTTCGTCTCAAGTGCTGATTTTTGTTTGTGACGATTTTGTTTTCGTCGCAAATGGATTTTTTTTTTAATTAATTTATTTATTTTAATTATTTTTTATTACAAATTAAAATCAGCTGTTAAAAAAAAAAAAAAAAAAAAAAAAAAAAAAAAAAAAAAAAACCAAAACCATACTCAAAAATATTAAAACCGCGATTACCAATTAAATATCAAAATACAACACAAACATCAATTCAAAAATTACATAAAAACTTGAAACCATAAATGTATTAGTTCAAGAGGCACACTAATTTCATCTCGTTTTTATACTCCACTATTAAAACGCTCGAGCAAGGTGTTCAAAAGAGCTCGGGTTTCCTGCAATTGCTCTTCTAATCGATCAACTTTGTCATTTTAACTTTATTTGTTTCTCGGGTTTCCTGCAATTGTTGTTCCAATCGATTCACTTGTTCGTCTTTCATTTGCATTTGTTCTTGCATTGCCTTCATTTGAATCTCCAGTTGAATCTCCACGTCTGATGGTGTTGAAGAAAATCTCGACTTTCCAATCCTTGTGCTTGAACTTTTAATTCCAAGGCCTTTACTCTTTCCCAAAACCTTTTCAATTGTAGTCGAGTTGGCCGTGCTTTCGTCACTTCCATCACGCATGGTCTCATCATAAACTCGCTCCAAATCAGCCTGAAAATGATTATGTACAAAAGTTTAGCCAAAAGTTGTTATCCCAGAACCCCACAACTCATTAAGCTCGTCGATCAACGGTTGTAGATAAACATCAATGCCATTTTTCGGGCCTTTTGGACCAGAAATAAGCAATGACATCATCATATTAGAGCGTTGCATGCACATATTTGGTGGTAAGTTGTAAACCATTAGAATTACAGGCCATGTGCTATGTTTGCTGCTCAATGATCCAAAGGGATTAAAACCGTCAGTAGCCAAGCCAAGCCTTACATTTCGAGGGTCGAAAGAGAATGACTCGTGTTTCTTGTCAAACTCTTTCCAAGCATCAGAATCAGTAGGGTGCCTGAGAACGCCATCGTTACATCGAGACTCAGCGTGCCATCTCATGTTGATTGCTGATTTTTGACATATAAATAGCCGCTTGAGCCTCGGAATCAATGGAAAGTATCGCAAAACTTTTTTTGGTACCCTTTTGCGCTGAGAGGTTGAAGAACTCGGTTGGTTTTCTACTGGATTCTTCCATCTTGAAGCATTACACACTTTGCATGCATTTAAGTTGAAGTCATCCTTCCAAAACAGCATGCAGTCATTCTCACACGCATCAATCTTGACGTAACCACACCCCAATTTACCGATGAGCTTCTTAACTTCATAAAAAGAGTCGGGTATATTTAAAAAATCAAGTTTTCTCATTAACTGAAGGGTTTCAGTAAATGTATTATCACTCATCTTGCCACGAGACTTAATTTTGTAGAACTCCATGATAAAAGAAAGTTTAGTATATACCCGGCATCCATCATAAACGGGGATGCACCACTCTTCAATGAGTTTACGAAAATCATCAGTTTCGGGGTTGGGTTCTTCGTGCAGATCTTCTTGATCGTGATGACGATCGTCATGAAGACACGCATGCAGTAAGTCTTCCATGTTATTGTTAGAGTAGGTGACCAACAAGCCAACATGTGGCTGTGGTCTTTCGTATTTATTATTGTAATAAACGAACCTTTATTCGTATTAATGATAAAACACCTTGGCATTCTATATCTTTGTCCCTTTGTCACAAGCATAGATATAGTCCTTACAGTTATTACAAGTACTAGTAATTGATCGTTAGGATCGTGAGATATTTACTTAAGTATTATAACTGTTAAACGTGTTCCTAGTCGAAGGGTTACGCCACTAATGAGGATATCGGCCTTTCCCATTAAGACTAGCACTTAGTGTATGTGTACTGCATCTCATCAGTAAACGGTATTGTGATATCGACATACATAAGTGGGTGCTCGTAAGTTGACGAGTTCACTGAACTCCCTCACCCTAGAAATCTCTAAGTGGTTCCCAATAATCGAGTAGAGATATCTATGGTATAGTTGTACACCATTAGTCCTTATGACCTAGACATCACCGTGACTTCACTAGAGGACCAGCTGTATCGTGACCTGTCCCTGAGTTCCACCGAGGACCATCCCAAGGGCCAGTGTTCGTGCAGTCCGAAATCTAGTGGGAGGTCTGTGCATTGTAGTCGGGGATTCGATCGCTAGAATAGTCTTGGATGTCCTGTGTGTTCTGAAAGTTTGTAATCATTCTAAGTCTCTGGCCAGAGCTGACTAAGTGATGATTAGAGGATTCGATTCTCTAAGTCATGCACGTGACGATTACAATACTTAGAACGATCGCACCGTCATTGAACATATAAAGAAGTCTCGATGAACCAATGCCTCTAGTTCAATCGGGACATATGAATCGAAGGGACCGTACTGTACGTTAACTATATCTGAAGGTTCTTGCAGGCACTTCATTTGTATCTAGGGAATCATGACGCGTAGTTGCTAGACGCCAATCTTGATTCGTTGGGTGACTAAGGTGAAACGAGCTTCATCTTAATCGTAACTCTATGAGACGAGTTTTGACCACAATGAGTTGTGGGCCCACGGCTAGCTTACACCTGAACCATCGAGGGTCACACTGCTCGTGCACATGAGATCTTTGAATAAACGGTCAGAGATAAAATAGTTTATCTTTGCATAATTGGAAGTCAATACGATTGAGTCCAACATTCGTAATTTGGAATTACGAATGAAAATAAGAAAAGGAAAAGAATAGGCGAACGTTGTAGTGGACTTTCTAAATCGGGAAGTTTCCAAATTTAGAAAGTGCACTGAACTAGGGTTTCCACTTTTAGAAAGTTGGAAAATGAGAATTGACACTCGTAATGACGAGGACTTTATAATGATTCCGAAAATGTAATCGTTGCAATTTTTCGGTCATTGGATTGAGAGAAACGAGCAAGTAAAAGTACTAGCGAACTTAAGCTGTTGGGCCCGGTCCAACTTAAGCCCGCTAGGGTTTTATGCAAGACACTATAAATACAAGATTTATAGGTCTTGCACATACAAGTGAAAACCCTGACCCTAGCAGCCGTTCTCCCTCTCCCTCTCGCCCTCTCCCGCGGCCGTCACCGGCGCCGTCGCCGGAGCTTCACCGGGATCGGCCATTCGTTGGCCGATTGTTTCGGTATTATCTTTCCTTCTCTTTTTCTTCCGTTTTTCTAACTATTACGTGTCTAGTGCCACGTGTTTAGTAGATCGAAGTATACGAGGTGAAATCCGAGAGGAGGAAGACCGAGGATCGAAGAATCGAGGAGCAGCGCACGAGCCGAAGCCGCACGCTGCCCCACGCGCCGCCCCGGAAGACCGCGCGTGAAACTCACGCGCCGCCGTGGTCATCACCGCCGCTGCTGCTGCACCGCTGCTGCCCCGATTGTACGGATTGGTTTCCGTAGCAATCTCGACTTGCTCAACGCTTCTACCTCACGCTTCAAGAGGTAAACACACGAACTCGAAGTTCTTGTTTCGTTTAAACGCTATATGTATTCATGTTTGCTTTCGTATGATTTTGTGTGATTATATGTAATCGTTTTAAATCATTGCAAGCATGTTATTTGGTTTAAACGCGAGTATGTTAATTGATTTAAATTCGGTTAAATTAATAAGCATGTATGTTGTTTTTAATTTCGCTGGAAGCGCAAAGGTACGCAATTAATTGATTAATTTGTCGGGCATGTGTTTGTGTGCTTTAAAGTCGTTTAAATCGCATTAAATTTTTGTTTTCCGCTGCGTACGCGTGCCCGAAACCCAACAGTGGTATCAGAGCTCGTTGCGCAATTAATTGCGTTCGTATTAATATGCTATGATTTTATGCATGTTCGATTTATTAAAGTAGTGATTGTTGTATTATGTAATTGGGAGTTTTCGTAAGTTTAAAATATTTTTGAAATATTGTTTAGAATTTTTCCAGCTTTAAAATTGTTTAAAATTGGAAAAACGGATCTGAAATTATTTTTTTTTAAACGTCGGTTTTCAATTATTCGGATCGAACCGGTCGAACCGGCCGGTTCGATGGTTGTGCACGATCCAATCGACCGAATCCAAGTGGATTCGGGTCGGTCAGACCGGTTCTCGGTCCGACTGACCCGGCCCACTGATTTGGGTCAATTGGACCGGGTAGAACCGGACCGCTTCGGTCCGAACCGGTCAGACCGGTCGGCCGAACCGGTTCACTGAAAATAAAAAATAAAAAAAAAAAAAAAAAAAAAAAAATTATTTCAGATTTCTAAAATTAAACTTAAAACAAATTGATTTTAAATTTTGGAAAATTATTTTCAATTAATCTCAATTAGATAATTGGATCAACAATCGTCTATTTTAGTAAATAGGTGTTAGATTAATTAATTAATTTAAATTGTTAAATTGATTTCAATTAATAGAACACATTCATAATTTTGATTATGATTCAACTTAATTAGTAGTACCTCAGCATTATTTGAATGATTTATGCTAGTTGAGGTTCTATAATTATTTTGAAAACTTGATAATTAATTAATGTAATTAATTATGAAATTAGGTCGTATGTTCCTCTTAGGACAATATGCGCTTCCATATACCTTTAGAGAACATAGATGTAGGAATCACATAGACCAATCCAAAACCTTCTGATGAGATAAAACATTCTAATAAAAATCCCTCATTCTTAATTTAATTAAGAATCATTTCAAGCTATAAAGAAAAACCCAATCTGTTGAGTTATTTCTTTCCTTCTGCCAACGGTTGGATTATGTGTAGCCCTTTACTATAGTGCAGTAAGCCGTGTTAGCGGGGAGTGCTATGGTAGAGTAAGCTGTAATTCAATTGACATAACGATGAAGGTAGCCGTAGAAAAGGGTTATGTTGAATTAACGTGGTCGGCTAGATTAACTAGGGACTGCATTAGTTTGGCATAATCAAGTTCTATGAACATATTTGATTGGTAGGTTAGACTTGACACACGACGATTTTGATATTCGCAAGATTAACTTAGGTCATTATCAAGTGTGAGGAAAATTAATTTAGGGTCATATTGTGGATATGATTGATTGTGATCTACCTTTGGGCAAATATAATCGGGCTAGATTAACTACGGGTTATATTTGTCTATTGGACCTAAAGCCCATTAAGAAAAATCAGTTTTCTCGTTTGTCTACTAGAGGGAAGTGGAACTCGATAAAATTAGTGGGAGAACAATTAAATAACATAAGTCCAAACATTTAATTGTAACAATCATTTAACGCGAATCTCTAATAATCCTCTTCTCTATATGTCTCAGATAATCATGTCTAAGAATCCCATAATGTCAATCCTCGACAATAAACTCAATGGCCCTAATTACCTAGATTGGTTGCGTAGTCTTAAGCTTGTACTAACCGTTGAGGGGCGTCTCTATGTTCTGAACGAGAGACTTCCCGCCACTATACCTGACACAGCGACTGATGCTGAGAAGGAAACTTATGAAGTATGGAAGAAAGATGACACTCATGCTAGGTGCTATATGATAGCCGCCATGGAGCCCGCGCTTGCGAGGAAATATGAGTCTCACTTGCATGCTTTCGATATAAAGGCTCATCTCGATAGCATGTATAGCGAGAACATTAGGGCATCGAGGTACGCTGCTACAAATGAGTTGATCACTGCGAGACTGCGCGAAGGGACTTCGGTCCACGAACACTGTCTCAAAATGATCACTCTCCTTGAAAAGCTAGTGAATCTTGATGTCACCCTCCCGGCCGAGCTCTCGTTGGATTTGATCCTGTTGTCCCTTCCTAGTTCCTATGAATCGTTCATAGTGAACTTCAACATGAACAAACTAGATCCTCCTTTGGATGAGTTAATGAACATGTTGGTCAGCTTCGAGTCCACCATTAAGAAAGAGAAGTCTGTTCTCATTGCTGCTACTTCTGGAAAGAAGAGTTCTATCCAAAAGAAGAGAAAGGAAAGAGTTCCCTTCCCAAACAGCAAGTTCGAAGTGGGTGAAGGAAGTGGGGGCCCCAAAGCAAAGGTTAGCAAACAAGTTGATGATGCTTGCCATCACTGTGGAAAGAAAGGACATTGGCGCCGCAACTCCAAGGCTTACCTAAAGCAGAAAGGTTCTGAAAAGGGTACGTATTTCATTGACGTAAATTTGTCCGTCAACTCTTCTTCTTGGGTATTGGATACGGGCTGTGGCTCACATTTGTGCAATGATTTGCAGCTAATGACAAGAAGTCGAAGACTTAGAGCGGGTGAGACCTTCCTAAGGATGGGGAATGGAGCAAGAGTTGCTGCTGAAGCCATTGGCACAATTTACTTAAATGTTTTGGATTCTAGTTTTCCTATTGTTTTGAACGATTGTTTATTTGTTCCGTCGCTCATTAGAAACCTTATTTCTATTCCTGTATTAGATATTGAAGGTTTTACTTTTGTTTTTGGAAATTCGATTTGCATTATACAAAAGAATGAGAATTTGATTTGCAAAGGACGACTATTAAACAACTTGTATGAACTAAATTCAAGTGAAATACCTATTAATGTTATATCAGCAAAACGTAAGGAGATAGATCAAAACCCCGCACAACTTTGGCACGCTAGATTAGGTCATGTCTCTTTAAGAAGGATGAACGATTTTGTCACTGAAGGATTGTTCTCTTTGGAGGACGTGAAATCACTGCAAACTTGTGAGTCTTGCCTTAAAGGGAAAATGACCAAGTCACCCTACAAAGGGAAAATGGAACGAGCCGAGGGTCTTTTGGATTTGATCCATACAGACGTATGTGGTCCACTAAGTGTTAGTGCGAAGGGTGGATATAACTACTTCGCTACCTTTACCGATGATTATTCTAGGTATGGGTATGTGTACTTAATGAAGTACAAGTCTGAAACATTTGAAAGGTTCAAAGATTTTAGACACGAAGTGGAAAAGCAACTCGGACGAAGCATTAAGAAGCTGCGATCCGATCGTGTTGGAGAATACTTGAGCATCGAGTTCATTGACTATCTAAAAGAAAATGGGATACAGTCCCAATGGACTCCACCGGGAACTCCTCAACTTAATGGAGTATCCGAACGTCGGAATCAAACTTTATTAGATATGGTTCGATCCATGATGGGGTTCACAAACTTACCGGCATACTTGTGGGGTCATGCACTTCGCACTGCCGCGTATTTGCTGAATAGAGTTAACACCAAAGCAATTAAATCCACACCGTATGAACTTTGGCATTCCCGGAAACCTAACTACAAACATATTAGGATATGGGGTTGTCCCGCTTATGTGAAGCGATTAGTGGGAGATAAGTTGGATAGTAAATCCGACTTGTGCTATTTTGTGGGGTATCCCGAAGACTCGATGGGATACGAGTTCTTCTATGTCAAAGAAGCAAAGACGTTTGTTTCAAGAAATCCCACCTTTTTGGAAAGGGAGTTTCTATCCGATAGAAAGGGCAGCATGATAGAACTTGAAGTAGTTCAAGAACCACAAAGTGAAGTTCAAACGCAAGAACAGGTAATCGAACCAATACAACAAACCACTAATATACCTCCTGAACCTACGGTACGTAGATCCGAAAGAATTCGGAAAATGCCGGATAGGTTATTCCTCCTCGAAAATGATGAAGATCATGTTGATCTTGGACGAGATCCAAGAACATACAATGAGGCCGTATCGGATGCGGACATGGGACATTGGCTGACTGCCATGAAATCCGAAATGGACTCCATGTACTCCAACAAGGTGTGGACCTTGGTAGATCCACCTAAGGGAATTGTTCCTATAGGCTGCAAGTGGATCTATAAGAAGAAAATTGGAGTGGATGGAAAGGTATCGACCTATAAAGCTAGATTGGTAGCGAAAGGATACACTCAAAGGCAAGGTGTTGACTATGAGGAAACCTTTTCGCCAGTCGCGATGCTGAAGTCCATTAGGATTTTGCTGGCCATAGCTGCGTGGTACGACTACGAGATATGGCAAATGGATGTGAAGACCGCCTTCCTTAATGGAGATATTGAGGAAGAAATTTACATGGCGCAGCCGGAAGGCTTCATATCTTCTGGAAGTGAGCAAAAGGTTTGCAAACTCCAGCGATCCATTTATGGATTGAAACAAGCATCCCGAAGTTGGAACATTAGGTTCGACTCAACTATCAAAGAGTTTGATTTTGAGAAGAATCCGGAGGAACCTTGTGTATACAAGAAGGTTAGTGGGAGGGCAGTGATATTTTTGGTGCTTTACGTTGATGACATTCTGCTCATTGGGAATGATGTAGGAATGTTGCAGCAAACGAAAGCATGGTTGTCCACACGTTTCTCAATGAAGGATTTGGGAGAAGCATCTTATGTATTAGGAATACGCATCTATAGAGATAGAGCGAGAAAGATGCTTGGTTTATCCCAAAGCCTGTACATAGACACCGTTATGAAACGGTTTAGCATGGAAGAATCCAAGAAGGGATTCTTGCCAATGTCCCATGGGGTTCGTCTCTCGAAATCTATGTGTCCTCAAACACCTAGTGAAATCGAGGAGATGAAAAGGACGCCTTATGCTTCTGCCATAGGAAGCATAATGTATGGCATGCTATGTACGAGACCAGATATTGCGTATGCTGTGAGTGTCACAAGCAGATATCAGTCTAACCCCGGCCCGGCTCACTGGAAAGCCGTGAAAGATATCCTCAAGTACTTGCGAAGGAATAAGGATATATTTTTGGTCTATGGGGGTGCCGAGTTGAAATTAGAGGGTTTTACCGACTCTAGTTTTCAATCGGATGTGGACGACTCAAAGTCGAATTCTGGATTTATATTCACGCTTAATGGTGGTGCCGTGTGTTGGAAGAGTTCCAAGCAAAGCACGACGGCCGATTCCACCACCGAAGCGGAATACATTGCAGCATCTGAAGCTGCAAAGGAAGGGACTTGGATAAGGAAGTTCATCCAAGAGTTGGGTGTCATTCCTAATGCTAGTGATCCAGTACCGTTGTACTGTGATAACACCGGAGCCGTGGCGCAAGCTAAGGAGCCGCGATCTCATCAGAAGTCGAAGCATATTCTGAGGAAGTATCACGTGATCCGAGAGATCATTGATAGAGGTGAAGTTAAGGTAGAACGAGTCACCTCGGAAGAGAACGTTGCAGACCCCTTCACGAAGCCTTTACCGAGATCGGTCCATGAGAAACATCGAGAGTCGATGGGATTGCGATTTACGGGTAGTTGGCTTTAGGTCAAGTGGGAGATTGTTAGAGTAGGTGACCAACAAGCCAACATGTGGCTGTGGTCTTTCGTATTTATTATTGTAATAAACGAACCTTTATTCGTATTAATGATAAAACACCTTGGCATTCTATATCTTTGTCCCTTTGTCACAAGCATAGATATAGTCCTTACAGTTATTACAAGTACTAGTAATTGATCGTTAGGATCGTGAGATATTTACTTAAGTATTATAACTGTTAAACGTGTTCCTAGTCGAAGGGTTACGCCACTAATGAGGATATCGGCCTTTCCCATTAAGACTAGCACTTAGTGTATGTGTACTGCATCTCATCAGTAAACGGTATTGTGATATCGGCATACATAAGTGGGTGCTCGTAAGTTGACGAGTTCACTGAACTCCCTCACCCTAGAAATCTCTAAGTGGTTCCCAATAATCGAGTAGAGATATCTATGGTATAGTTGTACACCATTAGTCCTTATGACCTAGACATCACCGTGACTTCACTAGATGACCAGCTGTATCGTGACCTGTCCCTGAGTTCCACCGAGGACCATCCCAAGGGCCAGTGTTCGTGCAGTCCGAAATCTAGTGGGAGGTCTGTGCATTGTAGTCGGGTATTCGATCGCTAGAATAGTCTTGGATGTCCTGTGTGTTCTGAAAGTTTGTAATCATTCTAAGTCTCTGGCCAGAGCTGACTAAGTGATGATTAGAGGATTCGATTCTCTAAGTCATGCACGTGACGATTACAATACTTAGAACGATCGCACCGTCATTGAACATATAAAGAGGTCTCGATGAACCAATGCCTCTAGTTCAATCGGGACATATGAATCGAAGGGACCGTACTGTACGTTAACTATATCTGAAGGTTCTTGCAGGCACTTCATTTGTATCTAGGGAATCATGACGCGTAGTTGCTAGACGCCAATCTTGATTCGTTGGGTGACTAAGGTGAAACGAGCTTCATCTTAATCGTAACTCTAAGGGACGAGTTTTGACCACAATGAGTTGTGGGCCCACGGCTAGCTTACACCTGAACCATCGAGGGTCACACTGCTCGTGCACATGAGATCTTTGAATAAACGGTCAGAGATAAAATAGTTTATCTTTGCATAATTGGAAGTCAATACGATTGAGTCCAACATTCGTAATTTGGAATTACGAATGAGAATAAGAAAAGGAAAAGAATAGGCGAACGTTGTAGTGGACTTTCTAAATCGGGAAGTTTCCAAATTTAGAAAGTGCACTGAACTAGGGTTTCCACTTTTAGAAAGTTGGAAAATGAGAATTGACACTCGTAATGACGAGGACTTTATAATGATTCCAAAAATGTAATCGTTGCAATTTTTCGGTCATTGGATTGAGAGAAACGAGCAAGTAAAAGTACTAGCGAACTTAAGTTGTTGGGCCCGGTCCAACTTAAGCCCGCTAGGGTTTTATGCAAGACACTATAAATACAAGATTTATAGGTCTTGCACATACAAGTGAAAACCCTAACCCTAGCAGCCGTTCTCCCTCTCCCTCTCGCCCTCTCCCCGCGGCCGTCACCGGCGCCGTCGCCGGAGCTTCACCGGGATCGGCCATTCGTTGGCCGATTGTTTCGGTATTATCTTTCCTTCTCTTTTTCTTCCGTTTTTCTAACTATTACGTGTCTAGTGCCACGTGTTTAGTAGATCGAAGTATACGAGGTGAAATCCGAGAGGAGGAAGACCTAGGATCGAAGAATCGAGGAGCAGCGCACGAGCCGAAGCCGCACGCTGCCCCACGCGCCGCCCCGGAAGACCGCGCGTGAAACTCACGCGCCGCCGTGGTCATCACCGCCGCTGCTGCTACACCGCTGCTGCCCCGATTGTACGGATTGGTTTCCGTAGCAATCTCGACTTGCTCAACGTTTCTACCTCACGCTTCAAGAGGTAAACACACGAACTCGAAGTTCTTGTTTCGTTTAAACGCTATATGTATTCATGTTTGCTTTCGTATGATTTTGTGTGATTATATGTAATCTTTTTAAATCATTGCAAGCATGTTATTTGGTTTAAACGCGAGTATGTTAATTGATTTAAATTCGGTTATATTAATAAGCATGTATGTTGTTTTTAATTTCGCTGGAAGCGCAAAGGTACGCAATTAATTGATTAATTTGTCGGGCATGTGCTTGTGTGCTTTAAAGTCGTTTAAATCGCATTAAATTTTTGTTTTCCGCTGCGTACGCGTGCCCGAAACCCAACAGTTATCACGTACATCAACAGGTTCATTTAAAATTGCAACTTCGGGAATTTCTGTATGATTAGTATTATTCATTTCCTCGCCAATGTATTCTTCTTCGGACTCTCCATGCATAGTCCATCGGCGTTGCCCATACAGTTTATCCCAACCCCTCCAAAGTAAATGTTTATTAACGAATTCACGATCCCCCCATTTACGACACTTACAGTCTCTACATGGGCATCTTATTTTATTATCAACGTCACATTTAGCGAAGGCAAAATCCATAAATTCCACACAACCATTTTGATATACTTCTAACCGACGATCATCTAATAAAACCCAACTCCTATCTTTTGGCATGCTTTAATTAACAAGATTACCTAGAAATTGGGAAGGGTCACAATTATTAAAATCACAATTATTTTCAAAGTTACATTCATAAACTAAAACTAAATTAAGGTGGTAGTCGCAACGGGAAAGCTTTCAATTTTTAATTGACATCAATTTTCAATTTTCAAAAATTCCCCCTCATTAGTAAGTAAATTTGACTCCGTAAGGGTGAACAAATACAATACGTAGTCGAGGGATTGTTTTAATTACCCAAATATTATGATTTTTTTTTTCATAATTTAGCTTTATCTTAGGGTGTGATTGTAATTTACCCTAATTTAAAGCAATTTTTCAATATTTTTCCAAAAAGGTTTTTTTTAATTTATTTATATATTTTATAGTCATAACAAGGAGTGAAAATCGGACGGATCGTATCGGATTTAGGTGTTTCGGAAAATTTCGGATTGTTTTCGGAAGTCCAAAACGCATTCCAATTCCGATTCTGATTTTTTCGGAATTCAAAAATTGATTCCGATTCCGATTTTTTTGGAATTTTTGGAAAATCGGAATTTTTCGGAAATCTTCATTTTTGGAATTTTCGAAATTTTTTCGGAAATTTTCGGAATTTTTTCGGAAATTTTCGGAATTTTTCCAAAAAAAAAACAAAGAAAAGAAAAGAAAGAAAAAAAAAAAGGAAAAGTTAATCACCGACACAGTAGCAAAGTAGCCAAATTGCAGAAAGAAACATGCACACAACAGACTCACCAAAACACACACACACACAACAGACTCACAAACACAAAATTCCGAGCAACATAATTCCGAGCAAACACATAATTCCGAGCAACATAAAACCCAAGAACAGTTCGCATAATTCCGAGCAACAATAATTCCGAATATTTCCGAGCAACACAGGCTCATCAAATCAACATAAAACAAACAAACACATAATTCCGAGAAAAAACCCAAAAATAGATCGCAATAATCAAACACATACAAAATTTTCAACATAAACAAACAAAGATTTAAAAAAACAGAAAATTACCTTGAGAAAGGAGGAATAGCGGCAGACGGTAACGGCTGGCAGTGGAGGGTTGTCGGCAACGGCGGAGGGCTGGCGGCGGACGGCTGTCGGCGACGGCAGATCGGAGGAAAGAGAGATTGGGAGCGAATTAGGGGAAGCAGGCGGCGGGCAGCGGGCGGCGGAACGACGGCGTACCGCGGGCAGTAGGCGGCGGGCAGCGGGCGGCGACGGGCGGCGGTGGCAGATCGGCGGGCGGCGGTGGCAGATCGGAGGAAATAGAGAGGGGGAGAAAGTTTGAGAGAGAGGGGAGGAAATAGATCGAATTAGGGTCTGGTTGAAATAATAAGTCAACCTTTGCGACGTTTCACGTTTTCGTCGCCCACATATTCGAGACCTCGCGACGAATCATAAAGTTACGTCGCTAATATATTCGAAAAAAAAAATTGAAAACATTTCTTGCGACGCTTTTTTAAATCCGTCGCATAGAGATAAAAAAATTTTTTTTTTACTAAAACAGTAGCGACGTTTTACGTCCTTCCATCGCCATATATAAATTAATAATAAATAATTGGGCACTACTAGCGACGTTTCCGAGAAAACGTCGCAAAGTATATTATTTTTTCTTTTTTAAAATAATAATTGCGACGATTCCTCGTGTTACGTCGCGAAATTTGAAATATAAAATCACAAAATATGTAACTGTGCGACGAATAATGATTTTCGTCGCCAAAATAAGTATTTTTTTTTTTTCGTATTTGCGACGTTTATACAATTTTCGTCACGAACTAGCGACGCTTATGCAGAATCGTCTCTAGCGTTTTGAACTAAACATGGTTTTTTCCACTTGAAGCGACGATTTAAGCTCTGAAACGTCGCAACTGGGCGACGAAAGAATAATTGTCGCGAATAAAAACGTCGCCAGTCTTGCATTTTGGCCTAGTGAAAGGCGACCCCGTGAAACCAATTTCTGAGAGGTCACAGTCGGTAAGGGCCCCGCTAAACGCCGCTATCTGCGTCGGCACTCTCAAATTCCCACCTATCTTCTCCGAGTTATCCAAGATTTCATTAAAATCACCACCAATAACCCACGGCAACAATATCTGAGTACTAAGATTCCGCAATAAATTCCAGGTTATTACTCTCTTGCTTCTTTCCGGGGAGCCATATATACCCGTCAGTCGCATTTAGTTGAGCCTTGGCCCTCAAGAATTTCTACATCAATGTGATTTATAGAGTAACTAATGAGGTCCACTTGAATATCATTTTGCCAAAGTAAGGACAGCTCTCCAGATTTGCCGATCTTATCAACTGACAAACCAAAAAGGTTGGACTTCTTCATAAGTTTGTTAATTAGAGTTAACGTCGTCTTCGTTTCCGAAAAGGACATCAACTTGGGGTTGTGAAGCCGAAGAATATCTCCGACCGTGTGAGTTGTCAAGGGTAACCGAGCCCTTGACAATTCCAGAATAAGTAACTCATAGCACTCGGCGAGACTGCTCTCCAGTGCTCGCAGTTGAATTTGACTCCTCGTCATGAAGCTGGAGATGTTGTCTCTTTCCCGAATTCTTCCGCATATTTCCAAAACCCTCCTCTGCCTTTTTCTTCTTGTTCTTTTCAGTCACCACAATCATTTTCGGCCTCGAGTGAGCCATGGTAGTACCTGTGTAAATTTGAACCGGATTGTTTATGAGTGTAAGCTCGTCATTCATAGTGCTCAGGTTGTTATTATGGGCTGCATGCATAGAGGTCCTGGTTCTCCTCTCCATTAGGTTTCGAGGAAAACTCAAATATGTGTGTCCCCCTCGCCACCAGCTTTGTCGATTAGAAATATTGGAGTTGTGTAGCAGGAGAGGCTGCAAAGGAACCCGAATGGCAGCCTCCTCTTTCGTATTTGGCGCCTTCATCCATATCCCATATGAATGGTGATCCCCAGGGTCGGCAAAGTTGTCCTCATAACGAGTCGGGCACTTTGCCTCACTATGTCCAAGTGTGCCACAGAGGAAATAAAAGTTAGGGAGTATTTAAATTCAATCAGCACTTTGGGCCCATCCAGGCTATGCATGTAAATCCCTCTCTTAAGGTGTTGTGTAACATCTATCAAAACCTTAACGCAAATATTATCCATCACGTCTAACGACTTGACGTTCAACAGTTGTATGAAGGTACCCACGTTGCTAGCAACAATTTTTGCCACAACTGATGTTCTCTGGTTGGCCGGGATCTGATAGAAACGACCCACTATGTGTTGGGAAAATTGGTTAAAAATTGAGTCATGAACAATTTTTTATCAATGTTATTGTACGGTCTAATTGAGTATATAAATGAATTTTGGATTAGAACCAATTTTGTGGTGAATGAAAAAATTACTAGTCCAAAATATAAGGAAAGTGGGATTTGAGTTATCCCACATTGGAAAAGTAGAGAAGTACTGAGCTGTATATATATCAAAATATTGGGACGGGCCAAAAACATTAGGTCATGGGTTTTTAACCCATTGGGCCCTTATTACTCGAAGCCCATCTCGATTGGTCTGATTGGTCTGAATTGGTGCGGCCGAACCAATGCAAACCATTCGGCTCAACTCGAAATGGTGCAACCACTCCCAATTGGCTCAACTCGAAATGGTGCAACCATTCAAAACAAAAGGTACCTTTTTGCTCCAAAGGACACTACTTTTCGAACCTTATAAATAGACCCTAACTTTCCCAAAATTCCTTACTTCAATCCAAAACAAGCCTACTACATATTAAGCCTACCCTTCACAGATTCTCTCGAAAAGTTCTACACAAAGTACAGTTCGTCGTACTTGGGATTTGGAGTGCTCCTATTCCAAGTTTTGCCGTTGTATCTTGGGAGACGATTTCCATTTAATCCGTTAGCACCGTTGCGGGGAAATTTCGTCTTAAGGACAGAGACAACTCGCCTCGGCAAAATTCTCGTTCATAGCAGATTTCCAACAATTAATTAATTTGTTCAACCAATTTACTAAATTCACTACCCCTTTTATGTATCGGGACCAACAATCTTAAGACGAAATCTTTTTGATTTAGTAAATTGTGTTTTCTGCACACTTTGGTAAACGAGATGGAGAAGAAGATAGTCTGCCAAAAATCAAGAAGTTACAAAATACAATTGGAGAAAGTTTATTTTCGGACAGAACATGAAGTCCACATTCTTTCCCATTTTCGAAGGTGTTAAAGTCCGAATATGGCAAATTACCATTTCACAGAAGTTGTAGATAATCAAGTTAGCTTTCCAGAACATGTTAGATCTTCACAATCGGAGATCGTACGAGGACGTTATGATGAAAACACGAAAGGGTGGCAGAACTGCCAATGCACCTTTTCATGAAAAATACAACCTTTCGTGACCAATGCAACTCGTCGCATATTAACGCATCACCAATGCCAATGCACGAAATTTTGGTGAAAGAAAACTGAATCGAAGATCAATAATGAGGTTTTATATTATTTTTGATTCATGAATATTATTTAATATTTTTTTTTCTGGTTCCATTGTAGGTGCAAATTTACAGCACACCTATTCCGACTTCGAGGCTTATTTTGATCATGATCCGGTCCGAATCTCAGAAAACATAAAAGATAAAAGTTGTAGAAAAGTTTGTTGGCTGTTCGGATCATATTGAATCAACAAAATCGGACTTGGGATGGAAGAGGTATGAATAAATCATTCAGCACTGCCATAATATTGACACGATTTGGTGCTACCCACAAAATTTTGAATTGACGAACATATAATTTATCGGGTACGCTTTTTAATTATAAGAATCTATTTGTGAAATATATTGATAATGCTATATGATATAATGGTGGATTATTGCATGATAGTTTAATTTTCTATGTGGAAGCATGGTAAACCATATACAATATATATGCTTAATGAATATTCACGATGTTTGTGTATGTACATTAATAATAGAAATATTTTTATCCTAAATAAAATAAAGTGATAGCGTATGTGCTAATTATTTGAATAAGTTTATCATAAACCGCATGATAAGTGCTATACTAATGACATTTCTCATGGAAATGCAATATTTATTTGCATAAATTGCTTATAGTTTGATATGGGATTAACTTTCTCCCAATTTGATGTGGAACTATCCGGTTGATTGATTTTCGAATATGTGAGTACGTGATTTTATTAACGTTTTTATTATTGTCATGATCGATTAGACTTGTCTCATATATTAAGTATGAGTTACTTAGTAAGAGGAATATTATTATACATATTATTTTTTACGTAAGCCATACTAATTCCTTAGAATTGTGTTATTGCA